GACTCGAATGACTGAAGTTTGAAGTTCAGTCCCTTTCCTTTATGGAGTACAAATCATTATCCACATCGGTTGTAAAGATGTCTTCTCCAGTTTTTCGATTCGTGATTGCAGCGCAATTTTCAAAAAAGTGACATTGTATGTAATAGTGTTAGTAGTGGTCCTGACTACTCACAAGGAAACAACGCAATATCTGAGACGAAGGTAATTACCCGATGACTCAATGAAGACTGTTTATTGCAAATATTTATTGGTTAGATTGTAAATGCAAGCAATGTCGTATTTCTATGGAAAAAACTCATTACTGCTATGTACGACGTGACTTTTAATTAGTCTAACGTTTCCCATTGTCTTTTTTGTAATTATATTAAATAATTATTAATTTTTCCCTTATTAAACATTCTATTTAATAAAAGGTCTATATTAATTATTTTACAGTAAACAATCCATATCTACACGTCGACGATGATGCAGAATTTATAACACGCGATCTAAGTACATTCGCTTCCACAGTACCTTCCAATTTCTGTATGTTAAATATGTCGTACCATTAAAATGCAAGCACCAATTGTTTTTCAGGTTCATTGTTGCCGTAAAAAATAATTCAAACTAAGCAGTTTATTCGATTTTCATAGCTAATTCAGATATTCTGAAGGTCATTCTCTGTTAGTCTTATTATTACGTACAAGTAGTCGCAAATTATCATTGTGTCACGCGTGATCGACATTTCCATAAACATAACTCTTAAACTTAACGTCAAATCTACATAATTTTGTCAAACACGTAACAAGCGAACAAATATGCCCCACTACTTCTCGATCCAAATAGATGATAGCAAACAGTCATTAGATACTGCACTTTCAAGGCTTTCTTGCCAGTTTTAAACAACTCTACGTGTTTACGGGCAAGAATATGTACATTTGAACAAAACATAATATATGTTCCAAGAATTATTGATTTATGAAGGAATATTAACATGTTTCGTGTTACGTGTACCATCCATGATACATATTTCTTTAATGCGCTGAGAATATATGTTTATGACAAATTTAATTCTGTAAAAGATATTTCTACTAAAAGATTGACGCATTACACAAAATGCAATATAGAACGAAGCACATAAGCTTGCTTAGTTGTTATATTTACAATAATTAATAATTACATGTAATAGTTCTGTGACAATATATCAATCTTTAGTCGAAATATCAAATGTTCCGAACGACAAGTCAGGCAAAATGGGCTTGTCACGGAACATACTAATGTTTCGCGATTATAAAACTGTTTAAATTATTTTTAGACAAATGTCAAGTAAATTTGATAAAAAAGTACATGTAAAGTCGCTACTTACATCTCCAAGCCTACGACATGCTAGTATACAAAAAACATTTGCATAAGCATACAAATAAACGTCAGCTATAGAAAAAAGAAAAATCAAATACAGTTCCATTCTTTATAATACACTAATATGAACAATTTTCTATGAACGGCATTTTCCGTAAGTTATTTTCGAATATATTTAATTAACGTGTTACAAATCAATTTTCCTATTTGCAATCAGTACATCAAATAAAAATATGTATACAGTGTTTCGCAACTAGTGAAAAATCTGGAAAGGGATGATTAATTCAAACAATATTGAATATTTATCTTTATGAAGATTGAGTTTGAAGATTCGTTTCCGAATCAATAATGAAGAACACTAACCAATAGACTGGTGGACAAAATTATAAGACTCTCTATTTATTCTGTAATAGTTCTTTAGTATCGGCGATGGGGATTCATTCTCACAGCACCCCAATACACGCAATACACAGTCCACATCCAACAATCATAATTAATTTTTACGACGCCATTAGACTTTGACGCTGCGTTCATGTGTTTCATTAGAATTTTAGCATTATACATATTTCGCGTAGTTTAAAAACATGTGTATATGTAAGTAGAACGATCAAGGCATGGAAGAGTAGTATATTTTGAATTATACCATTTTGTGACATCCCGGAAGATTCGTTAATGTTGAAGAATCAATCAAGATTCAAAAATCTTTATGTAGATTTTACTTCTTTCATAGTAAAATTTTTCTTTTCAATTATCAACAATGTTTTTTTCTTTTTACCGACCACGTCACAAACTATTCAATTACCATACGTATTTATCGTTACCATACGTGCTATCTATTCAGTCAATAATACATATCTTCTAATTCATCAAATATATGTTATTAAATTATTACTAAATAAATTAAAACATATGAAATAAATTAATTACAAATCAAGGTGAATTATTATTAATCGAAATAGCGTATTCTTTTGTCAATCTAGAAAATTTTAATATTAAAACATTACATGTAATATTTCAAATATCGCGTACTTCAACGCTAGCGTAGCCATCTGCAAGAAAAGGATTCAAAATACACTGCTCAAAAGAAATATGGCATAGAAAAATTTTAGGCAAAAATTGGCCAAATTCGACTGATGATAACTCCGTGAAAAATCATCGCAAAGTTATGCTCTTTTTTTTAAATTAAAGCTTGAGATCTCTACTTTAAGACCCTGTAGTTTGATTTTAGATTTGATGCATACCTACCACAATAACACCGTAAATGTGAGGTCATGTTTGCAATATTGAAAATTACAAAGTTTGACGAAATGCATGGACTTGCCACATTTTTTTGAGGCGACACTGTTTACAGCAGCAGAAAGTACAAACCTTTATCTTTAATTTCCAGTATGTGAAAAACCGCTACCATTTTTTTCTGCAAAGATACAGAACTTTAAAGAAACCCTTGCATTTATGGCATATACCGCCGCCATTAGCATTACCC